TTTTGAAAAAAAATTTAATTTTCTGTATTTTCTTAATGCAATGTTACATAATTTGTACTTCCTAATAAATTAGTCCCAAAATATAACCAACAAAATCTCATTAGTTTAAGTTTTATGCAACGTAGTGGAATGGTAAAGCTCAAAGTGAATATACAGTATTGGTTTTACTGTAAAAGAGCTTTGTTCCTCTTTCAATGCTACATTGCGAAAAAAACGGTTTGCGTAAATTGTTAGTATAATATTAAGATTACATGAAGATGGGTTGATGAGTGCACACATTAACATGTTGGTGACTTTTTCACAGGCATGCAATTACTAAAGATTTGAATAAGCTTACACTCAATTATGTCAGCATTTGATGCTTGTGCAGTGAACATAAATGTCATCCAGATCATCCGTCATTGTTGGAACTTGGGAATTATAATGGGATTGAAATATTTCTATTGGCCTCAAGGTTGATTTTCTCCATACAAGCTAAAATTTTGGAGTTTTTCTTTGGTGTAGTTTGTGAGTGTATGCACTGAGAAATTATTGTCTGTAGATGGCTGTTCATGGGTTTAAGGCAGTACTCGCATATACATGTATATAGTGTACGGGAATATACCCGTATGCTTTATGCATGTTTACACGAGTACTGCAGTATACAGTACACTATGGGTGGCTCTATATAGCACCTGAACTTCTCAAGTGCTGAAAAATACCCACATTTTACATATTGCTGCTGTGTGTGTGCTTGTGTATACATATTTTAAAAAAAAAATTATATTTTTTATTTTTAAATTGATTTGCACTATTCTTTGTTTCATTCTTTGTTTCACATTTTTTTATTTTTCTTGACTTTTCCTCTCTGGGAAGGGAAAGAGAGTCTGAATCTGATCAGGGGAAATATTATGCAGACTCTCATGCAGATTTGCAGGAATACATAGTTATATAGTTAGTCTGGCTGAAAAAAGACAAAAGTCCATCCAGTTCAACCAAAAAAAAAAGTTATAATCATATACTCACAATAACTGATTTTAGTCATCTAATGCTGGTTGCAATCAGCCAGCAATAGATCACTGTAGCAATGATCAGCTGCTGTATGGAAAGGCGGGCAGAGCTATGAGAGCTTTTCCTGATCCTCTGTAATGAAAGGGAGTGCAGTGATTTCACTTGTGATGTCATTTCTCTCTCAATGTAAAAATGACATGGAAGTGCTGTGTAAAACTTTGCCTTCACAAAGCTCTCCTATGGAACACTCTGTGAAAGTCTCAGAAGCCCAGTAGCTGATCATTCCAGCTCCTAGCCTTAGTGCTGGATACCAGCTCTCATAGACAACTGGTAATTCCAGCACTTGTCCCCTCCAGTACCTGTGGGAGCCACCAATCCCCTCCACCATTTTAAAATGCCACTGGGACATGGTAAATAGCCGCTATATCCCAATGCCATTTTAAAACCTTGCTGGGGACTGAAGTGGATGATGAAAAACATAGAGCTGTTTTTACTGAGCACACCTTTAAATCAATCTCAAAAAACACATCTGCATTTGTGTCTAGTGAAAAAAATATATGAACACTGATATTCTGTACTGACCTGCAGAATATGTCAACACTAGAAAAATGTAGGTTGCAAATAATAGTGAACTCAGGTACCATATTTTATAACTGTGATACTACTACTACTACTACCACTAATAATAATAATAATAATAATAATGACATAATTCTAACAAAACAACAATAGTAGTAAGTATACACTTGCAGTTGGGGAGTGGTAAGGACATGCAACTGAGCCCATTTTTTACCACTCCCAAACAACCCCCCTTAAGTAGCAAAGGTAAACCTCTTTTGCATTTTGTGGGTAGTACCACCCACCACACATACAAGTGAATGGGCAATGTTGCAACTGCCAAAAACTGTGTGCAATGCACATATTTGTGGGGCAGGCTTTAAGGGTTTAAAACAAATGGTAAGGAGGTGACATAACATCCCTCAAGACTCCTCAGATCCCCCCTGAGAAATTACCCACCATGGATCACTCTTCAGAGGGCTAACACTAATGTAAAGTAGCCTTAATTCCATTCATTTGCTGTCCAATAACCCATAGAGAAATCCTCACACTATCATTATTGTCATTCTGGTCCCCTATCTACCCTCTTAAGCTCTGTCCTAACAGATAAGGGTGTTCAGAGGGCATACAGTATAATGAGCCCAGGGCTCTTCCATCATTATACAGTAACCACCCCCTCCCCACACTCAATATCTACGGATCGGCACCGTAGCTCCCCACAATTGAAACCCCCCATCTCCACACTTTCAGTTTGAGTATTTACACCATCCCAGTATGTGTTGAAGGCAGCCAGTTCATTGTTGTACATGTACACATGTTTCTCCACCTTTGGGTGGCTCTCTCTGTTTGGACCACCTTCTGGGGGAATCACTGTTCACACTTTTCCTAGAAGTCAGTCCCCTGTACATTCTTTAAGGCTTCACACTTCCTGTCTCTGCCAGCCCAGCTACCACCTTCCTCCCAAGCACATAGCATCCCCTCTCCACCTCTCCTTCCACCTCCAGTGGTGGAACCCCTGGAGACATCTTGCAGAACCCCAGTTGAGAAACCTTAGCCTAGTGTAAAAGCTATTCAGTGGCCTGTGGATGTAAAATTATTCCTGACTATTTATCACAGATTTTATTATTCTGCCTAGTTGTTATGTTTTGCCTTATGATGTATTGCCTTTTTGCTATCAGTCATCTGTTGCTAGTAGAGCAAACCCAAAAGCAGTAAAAATGCAGCTGTCATGAAGTCCATTTCCAAACATTTTGTGAGGACAGATAGTTGCTACAACAGTGACTGGTCATTTCACTGGTTAGAGCAATGTGATTACAGAAAAGGTAAAAGTGTAGTGAACCTCTTTCCAGTAACAAAAGCGTGACAAGAACTGTACAAATATATATCTTGTACATGTATACGTCAAGGATCATGAAACAGGAGTGAAATTTCAGGCCTGAAAATCCTTATTTTTTTATTAACATACAGCTGATGATCACAGAACCCGTTCTTCATCTGTGTAGTCCCCAGGATTAAGACTAAATAAAATCTATACATAGCATGTCTCTTAGAATCACCTCATAGCACACACACACTTACCCCCTCACCAGTCATTTACTGTAAATTCCACAGAAAGACTCCCCTGGGAGGAGGACATGAATCATTTCAGACTGTATACACCAATGCCCTGGCCAGGTAAAAACCATGATAGAAAAAGCTTCTACTAAACACTGAATTTTTTTTTAAAGCTGCCCGTATAACAAGCCAGGTTAGTTATGCAGCAAGTGCTACACTCAAAATGCTTTGCTTAGCAATTCTTTGGTAATTAGACAAATTCTAAGTCCTCGAGGGTTGAACAGGACAGCTATGACCTAAATGTGCAAATACAATGTGAAATGAGAATTGTATTGAATATATGGGGCACATGAGACATAGGCATTATTTTCAGCATTATTTCTTTAATGATCAAAAAAGTGATAACAAAAAATCCTTTTATTTTCTAGTATAGTGTTGTGTGTTTTAAAGAACATATCTGGTAAGAATTATTTCCATCTAAACTGCACCTATAACACTTAGACACCTGTGGAAAAAAAACATTTCTGAAAAAATGGTTATGTGTGGAATAAGAATGTAAAAACGGGTGATTATTATTATAGAGGATTTATGTAGGGCCAATAATTGCCTATGGTTTTACAAAATAAGGGAGCATGTACAGTTACAATGTCTCAAAACAATGAAATGACAAAGGTTATTCACTTATACCTTATATACATTTAGCCCCTTTTTACACTGCTGTGATGTATCATGTGACTTGCGACACATAAAGTAAAATGACAAGGAAAAACACATTTATTTCCATGGGTGTCATCTTAATCAATGCAACTCAAGCTGCAGCAACAAAAAAAAAAGGTTCCTGCACTATGTTTCTGTGACTTTGGTGCAACTTGAGTGATGAAAAGTCACAAGCATGTCGCAGGTCACAAGGAAATAACAAGCAATTTGGTGGTGTGAACCAAGCCTTAAAGTAATTTTAAAGGCAATTAAATAAACAGTAATAAAAAAAATTCATGCTTCCCTGCTTTTTGCTGGTTTTGCAAACAGCAGCCCTGATTGTCTTCTTCTCAAGTCCCATGACGGTGCTCCCGGCCCCTCCCTCCTGATGAATGCCCCCATCTTGCTGTGGGGGCACCCAAGCAGGCTCACTCCTGAGCCACTGTTCTTTGTGTCCATTTACACACAGAGCCACAGCTTGGTCCCGCCCCCTCTCTCTCCTTATTGGCTCCACTTTTGACTCATCCAATGAGGAGGGAAAGTTCCTAGGAGAGCCCAAGAACATCACTTGATCAAGATGGGGCTCAGGTAAGTATTGGGGGGTTTGCTGCACACAGGTTTTTTTACCTTCATGCATAGAACGCATGAAGGTGAAAAGCTTTGAGCCTTTACAAACACTTTAAATATCTTATATAAGCTTAACCGCTAGCCAACAGGGCACTTATACCCCCTTCCTGCCCAGGCCAATTTCCAGCTTTCAGCGCTGTCACACTTTGAATGACAATTGCACGGTCATGCAACACTGTACCCATATGACATTTTTATCATTTTTTTGAGACAGATAGAGCTTTCTTTTGGTTGTATTTAATCACCTCTGGGATTTTTATTTTTTCCTAAACAAACCAAAAACCACTGAAAATTTTGAAAAAAATTGTTTTTTCTTAGTTTTTGTTATACAAGTTTGTAAATAAGTGATTTTTCTCCTTCACTGATGTGCGCTAATGAGGCTGCAGTGATGGGCACTGATAGGCTGCACTGATGGACACTGATAGGTGGCACTGATGGGCACTGATGAGGAGGCACTGGTAGGTTGCACTGATGGGCATTGACAGGCATCACTGATGGGCACTGATACATGGCACTGATACATGACACTGATATATGGCACTGATAGGTGGCACTGATTGGCACTGATAGGTGGCACTGACTGGCACTGTTAGGCAGCACTGACTGGCACTGCTAGGCGGCACTGACTGGCACTGATAGGCAGCACTGATAGGCAGCACTGCCTGGCACTGATAGGCGACGCTGACTGCCACTGATAGGTGGCACTGATTGGCAGCACTGATAGGTGGCACTGATTGGCATTGATAGGTGGCACTGACTGGCACTGATAGGCGGCACTGACTGACACTGACTGGCACTGATAGGCGACACTGACTGGCAATGATAGGTGGCACTGATTGGCAGCACTGATAGGTGGCACTGATTGGCATTGATAGGTGGCACTGACTGGCACTGATGGGTGACATTGAAAGGCAGCTCAGATGGGCACTGATATGTGGCATTCATGTGCACTGGTATGCACTGATATGTGGCATTGATGTGGCACTGATGGGCACTGGCACGTGGCACTGATGGGCACTGGCACTGATGAGCACTGACAGGTGGCACTTCTGGGGCCACACTGATCATCAGGGCACACTGATCATCAGTGACCTGATGATCAGTGTACATGTCCCCTCCACGGAAAGCCGATTACCGGCTCCTCTCCTCTCAAGCTGTCAGCGTGACAGCTCGAGAGGAGAGAAATGCCGATAACCGGCATTTCTGTGTTTACATGTGATCAGCTGTGATTGGACACAGCTGATCACATGACCGAGCCGACATCTTCAGCTCTTTCTGTGATCTGCTGTGTCCAAGGGACACAGCGGATCGGTGATCGCTATGTGCATACACAGATATCTGGTCAAGAGTTTGGCAGATGAATGTAAAATGCAGGCCTTGACCATATTTGTGGGTAGAGGGTTACATCTATTTACGGGCTGGAGGCAAAAGGGCAAGAAACCTTTGCGTAAAAGTCTCCTTACCCTTTAAGGTATTTTATACACAATTAAGGTTTATTGTGCAAGGTGTACTTCTAAAGCATGTATGTGGGCAAAAAAAAATATTTTTCATGCATATGCTGTATGGCTGCAGCCAAATATCTGCTGCATAGCCAAATCACAGGCCAATTTTACTGTAAAGCTCTGGCAGCTCATGGTAGTGTGGGAGCTTTTCCACCTCTTCCTGCATCAGGAACACTCTTATTGGCCATTAAGGAAGTCCTTAGTGGCGGTCCAATATAAATGACCAGGGAGAGGCAGGGCAGCAATGGAAGCTCTACTACTACCATGAAATGGAGATTTTTTTGATCAGTACAGGCCACTATTCAGGCCTTTGCAGTAGGGTTTAGAGACTGCATCAGTATATACAGGCACCTGTAGGTGCCTACAGTTTATATTTGATAGCAGTTTTGTTTTCATATTATAAGCATATCACTTAAATCTAATTAATGTAATTATACTGCATTATTGTGCATATGAAATGTTCACTGCAGAATAATATAGTTACTGTATATAAAATATTGTCTCTCATCATATGTATTAAACCAGTCTATTATCAGGCCAGGAAATCCTGTGTAAAAACCTTAGGCTGAATATAAGTTTTTGTAAGCTTATATAAGGTATACAATATACGTAAATAAGACAAGAAAAATATTTGAAACTACAAAAGAACAAATTGATTGTATATTTAATACAATTAGCTTGCTTGGCATGATCTGTAGATCTCAGCACATACCCTTAGTATCAGATGTTAACGGCAGGCCATTATTTGTGCACTGGTGCTCAGTTCATTGTCATGGTAACAGATCATATCTGAGTCTCAGGCACTTCTGAAAACTATTTATTATAACAGATAGATGTAGAATATGCACAAATAGATGCAATCTAATTATACAGTTTAGTAGAACTACTGTCCCTCATATACCTCGTTTCACACGAACAAGGTAACAACGCTAGGAACTTAAAACTAAATTGTAGGCAATGCACAAAATAAAGCAGTGCTATAATATACATCCATAAAGTGAGCATATGCATACTAATGTAGTTAGATATTGTGAACAAACAGCAAAAAACAAGCCCTGATCCATCTCCATAACTATAAGCATTGTGGATAAATGAGTTTCTAAATTTCATTACAATTTTAGATTTTTTCTATGGGAGCAGATTTTGGCAGACTGCCGGCCTTCTTATCGAAACAATCAGCAAGTATTTCTGAGCTGCTTGAACCTTCTTAAACCACATTTACAGTCTTTGTTGTGATATTTGAGGATCTTAGGGAATGGATTACTTCACATTACAGAGAGATGAGTGAAGACTTCTTTTGAAGCTCTCTTACTACTTGTTTGGAAAATGTAAAGTGGAACTTTAGTCAGCAAATTAAGTCCTGCTAGATCATTTCATGCCCCTTTTGCAGGTATATCTATGTAGAACATTAAAAATAAGGGCCTATACTGTTTAAAATACAGTAATACACTGTTGTATTCCTACTCTGCCCATGCTCAGTAGCTCTCTATATTTAGGCACTGTGTCAAAAATCTGAGTCACTAGAGGCCAATCTGCTGACCGCCTAAATTTTTTCTGCTGCTCAGGGGCTCTGGGCTTCAGGAAAATGGCAACCTCTGGCAAGAAGAAACAGGAGCAATGCTGGAGGCAGTTTAGAGGACACACTAATTTTGGTAGCATATATATTATTGTGGAATGTAAATATGTTTCTTGCTAAAGAACATTATTTTATATGAAGTTGTTATGGGTAAAGTTCCACTTTAATGTCCATAGTCCGGTCACAAGTCTATTCAAACAATATACCTACTATAAATTTGGCTGGGTATTAACAGTCCCTATTTAGCAGATCTCTGACTGGGTAAGAAAAAGCAGCAAAAAGAGCCAATCACGAAGCAGAGATTTAAGACCATTGATCTGCTGATTCTTCTTTCACTGGTCAGCAGGGCTGCTGCTAGAGCCCACATTGCCCCATACAGCCAACCTGACAGGGCCCCCCTACCCCCAAAAAACACAGTTTATTATGCTTCAGTTATGAATGAAAACAGTGAGTGATTGGTACCGATCGCTCATTGTGATCATTCAGGAAAGGAAATATGTAAATTTGACATATTTTCCAGACCCTTCCCCCACTCTCCATCCCGAAGGATCGTATTGTGTGCTTGCAACTACCAGTGGGAAGGAGGGGAGGGAAGCCAGCAGCACTGCGGTGATGGGGGGTACAAAGGGGTGCCCAGGCAGCTGGGTGAATCAGATGTGAGCAGGTAGGGTGTGGGGGCAATTACTGGAACCTATCCTCTGTATGGCTCTCTCTGCAGCAGTTGAAAGCCAGCGGGAGGGAGAGAAATAGAAGCCAGCTTTAGGCTGCTGCAGAGAGAGCCATACAGGGGATCGGCTAACATAATTGCCCCCCCAAATTTGCCGATCACCTTGCCTGCTCATGTCCGATTCACACAGATGCCTGGGCCCCCCTGCTAGCCTGGGCCCTGTACAGGAGGACTGGTGATACTCCCTTATCCATGGTCCTGCTGCCCAGACACAGGATGGAGTGAGGAGAAGACCAAACTGCAACAGAGAAATGCGTTCTCTTTTCCTGCTAGACAGGGCTGTTTTTTGGGGGGCAGAGCTGTTTAAATCTCAGGATTTCATGGGCAGAAATAAAAATCCTTTGACAGATGAACCAGTTCTCATATGTAGTTTATCTGTGTATTAAGCTATTTCCTGGAGTTCAGTTTTAATAATAATTTTAAGCCTTTTTTGGTAAACTTTAGTTTGCATTAGAATTAGTACTAAATCTTTATATATCAGGTTGATGTTTGCTATGTCTTTGCCTACAGATGTACACATATAACACATATTGGGGTTCATTTACTGAAACTGGAAAGTGCAAAATCTGGTGCTGCTGTGCATTGTAGCAAATCAGCTTTTAATGTCAGCTTGTTCAATCAAGCATTGGTTTCTATGCAGAGCTGCACTCTCTAGTTTTAGTAAATCAACCCCATTGTACCACGTAATCAAATATTACCAGCCTTAACCAAATCACTTGTGGTCTTGGATTCTAAAGCAAGAAGTGAGGTGAAGCAACTCATCTCAGTGTGTTCTACAAACATCCAATTGATCTTCTTCTTCACTTGACTGAGTGTACTTCTCTTTTGAAGTGTTTGACATTTGCAACAGGCTTAAACGTTAATTTACGATATAGAATCAAGAACAAAAAATATGCTTGTTCAATGTTAGTGGAAGTTTCAGAGATGTTAAACTAAATTGGTAAAGTTTGTAGACACCACCCTTTGTAGTAGTCCAACAACCAAAACTTAAGGCCTAAACTATAAAATGATCATTACTAACTTAATGACAACTTTGTAAACTTAAAAGAGTGAAAGATACAGTCAGGTCCATAAATATTGGGACTTTGACACAATTCTAAACATTTTTGGCTCTATACACCACCACAATGGATTTGAAATGAAACAAACAAGATGTGCTTTAACTGCAGACTGTCAGCTTTAATTTGAGGGTATTTACATCCAAATCAGGTAAACACTGTAGGAATTACAACAGTCTGCATATGTGCCTCCCACTTGTTAAGGGACCAAAAGTAATGGGACAGAATAATAATCATAAATCAAACTTTCACTTTTTAATACTTGGTTGCAAATCCTTTGCAGTCAATTACAGCCTGAAGTCTGGAATGCATAGACATCACCAGACGCTGGGTTTGATCCCTAGTGATGCTCTGCCTGGCCTCTACTGCAACAGTCTTCAGTTCCTGCTTGTTCTTGGGGCATTTTCCCTTCAGTTTTGTCTTCAGCAAGTGAAATGCATGCTCAATCAGATTCAGGTCAGGTGATTGATTTGGCCATTGCATACCATTCCACTTCTTTCCCTTAAAAAACTCTTTGGTCAACACTATCAAGGCCCTTAATCTCCAACACTGGCTTTGCAAATCTAACTCTCCGGCCTTCTTCCTTTCATTGGATGCTGAGAAGGCCTTTGACAGGATTGCTTGGGATTATTTGCAGGGATCACTGATGGCTTTGGGCCTGGGCGAGAAAATGCTGAACTTTATTATGACCCTATACTCGGGCCCTACAGCTCAAGTTCGGGTTAATGGACACTTATCGAACCCTTTCCGCCTGGGAAATGGCACTCGTCAGGGTTGCCCCCTATCCCCGCTTCTGTTCGTCATTTCCCTTGAACCTCTTTTGAGACAAATTCGCGCTAACCCAGATATTAAGGGGATCAGGATAGCAGACAAAGAATACAAACTTGCTGCTTATGCGGATGATATCCTCCTTTTTTTGGCTGACCCTCGCACCACCCTACCGAGTTTGCTGAAAGACTTTGCTTTTTTCCGCTTTTTGTCGAACTTGAAAAATTAATTTTTCAAAGTCATACGCCCTCAACATAACCCTTCCCACTGATCTCGTCTCCTTCTGTGAGTCTCATTTTCCATTTCAGTGGGTGAGGGATGCCCTTCCATATCTTGGTGTACAACTTACTCGCAATCTGGACGACATTTATGCCAAAAATTTCTTACCGGTTTTCAAAGTCATACAGGAAGACCTAAACAAGTGGCATCGCCCCTGCTTCTCTTGGTTTGGTAGGGCTGCCATTATTAAAATGAATATACT